GCTTTGGAAATTTCACATGCACATAAATTACTGTGTAGCACCTATGAATTTAGTTCCTGTTCTTGCATGCCTTAAAAATGACTGCTCAAGCTCTCAGGTGAACCCATAATAGTCAGAAACACATGGATTCAAATGCAGGGAGACCCTCAGGGAAGTCACCCATTAACCTGTCTGACTATTATTGCCTTTATCTTTGTTTTGGACAACACTGAAGTACAATAATTGTTATTTTTAAACTATGAAAGAGTGCCATGTAAGATATAAAGATGATCCTTGTCCAAGAAGAGTTTTTAATCTAATTTTGATTAATTAGTGCAGCTACCAAAGAAGCCTGAGCTCACAGTTCAATCTGAGGCCCAGTAGTTCTGGAGTGCTGCCTGGAGCCTGAAGCTCTTCAAGCCCTGCTACAGAAACCATAACATGGCTGGGCACCTATGGGACAATTCCACAGCTAACAGCCTCTCATTTTGTGATGAAAAGCCTCATAAAAGAAAATTTCATTGTTTGTAAAATAAAAATTCAGATTTCTTCTTGAATATTTTTTCTTCCTGTGGGGAGTATCACTAAGCAATAAGAAATTGTAAAGATATTAGAAATGAATGAACAAAAAAGTGATTTCATTTTATTTAGAACTTGCACATCTTTGGAGATCCAACTTTTGAAATATAAAATAAAATATTTGAGATTATTCTTGGCGTGATCAGAATAAGCAAATAATAAGTTTCCAGTTCATTATCTTCAAAAACCTCCTGAGCAATATTTCTGCTTTTCATTAATGCTGTCACACTGATGCTCTCCATAAGTCAGCTTTCAGCTAAATGCTGCCCACAAATATGTGCATTTCATTCACACATGCATTATTGCAAAGGGGGTAAAGGAGGGCAAAGCCTGACATTGGGATTTTAATACTCCTTCTAGCTATAATCCCTCCAAATTTAAATTTGTGTGTCAAAGTATTTCACACCCCTGAGACACTCTTGACAGGGCAATTTTTCCTAAGTGTTCCTAAGTTGTGCTCACCCATCAACACTCTCTTGATCCTACTGTTAAAATCATTGAATACCAAAAGGAACAAAATACAACAAAATACTCACCCATGAAATCTCAGAATAAAGAACAAGTTTTTTGAGGTCCAGATAATTCACTGCAGTGAAAGGTTAGTTTTTACTTCAAACAGAGCTTTCAACATTGGGATCTTTGCTGGCCACAGAACCATTTCCAGCAAATTTCAGAGGATTTTAAACAGTACCAAAAAAATTTCCCATCTTCTACATTGCCATGCAGAGCAGCGAGATCACCTTTAGGAGGAGCCTCATCCCCTCTGTACAGCCAACAAAAACTCTCCGTGGCTCCTGCAAAGCTGCTAGAACTTTACTTCACAAAATATGGTTTCACTAGCAAAGATTCTGAAAAAGATGGAAAACAACAAAAAGGAACTTAATGAAATCTATTCGATAATCTTTTCTCAAAATATTCTGCTGTATATTAACCTCTTGTGAAGGATGCTTGTCTAATTTGTTCTTTAAAACTTTAAAGGATGGTGCAGTATTGGTTAACACAAATATTAAGAATGAACAAGCAAATCTTTAACATAAACAGCCTGACATAAACAAAACAGAACCAGAGGCAGTGGAGATAGAAATCTGCTGAGCAGTAAAAGCAGTTTAGAAACAAACATTGTTATTTTGAGGACACAGTGAAGAATAGAAAGTTGATTCTCTATGGAAGGGAGAAGAAACAAATTTGAGATTATTATTAGGGGTGATCACAAGAGTGCTTCTAACAGAAATCAGGATCAGACTTAACTGAAAGCAGGAAAGGCCAGAAAGCTGAATAGAAGGTCAGCTTTTACAAATTTAAGCCAACCTTTCTAATCTTGCTGCCTTTGTTGCTAACACTTCTACAAATGTATCTGCTCACTTCTTTCACTCCCCTCTTGGGCCAAGGAAGGTGAGGTAGCCCCTCATTAATTTACCTCACTAATGCACTTTATTCTGCATTAATCTCATTCATATCATTTGTCAGAGCCTTGAGAAATAGAAGCAATGTCCAAATTGATTCTTAGTGTCTGGACTTGTCCTTTGTGGTATTTGACCAAATGTCCAAATTGATTCTCAGTGTCTGGACTTGTCCTTTGTGTTATTTGACCACCAGCCCAAGAAACCTCAGTGTCTAATTGACTTCACATCTTCAGTCAGCAATTGAGCCCAGCACTTACCAGTCACCTTAGAGCTGAAAAGTTTCCTAATGGACAACCTGATTATCCTTTCCTACAGGTTAAGCCCCTGTAGGCACAAAGAAAATGCTATTCCATTCCTCTTCAGAGACTTCTCTAAAATCATTGAAATCCATGATTGGTATCTCCACCCAATCTTCCCAATTCCCAAACTACATAGCCCATATACCATGTTTTTCTGCATGTCAGATCACTCCCACTTTGCTCTGAGTTTGTTCCAATCTGACATTATTTTCTCAAAGGGCAATAAGGAAAAGCTGGCCTGATACTGCAAGCTCATCAATGCAAAGTTGCACACAGAAATATTTCAAGTGCCTCCTCCTCCCTGTTAAACATGCCAGATGCAAACCTGTTTCCATAGCAATATGACCCCTGTGAGGAGTTACTTAACCAAACTTGTTTGACTTGAACTGCAGTGGAAGAGTAACACCTGTGGAGGCAGTCACTGCACTCAGCAAGGGGACAGTAAGAGTCATTTAGCAAGAGGGATTAGCATCCTTATTTAACTACACCTCTAGTATTCACTCCCTTCAGTATCAGCCATGTACTTTGTCCCCTGCATGATTAATATCTCCAGTGATGTGACAGAAGCAAATGTTAAGTTTTCTGGCCTCCTCACCTCAGCCTGCAGTTTGTTTTCTCTCCCTGTAAAAGAGTGGAAAGAGTCTACCTCTTACAGGTATTGTCTTTACACTGGGTGTTGTCTTGTCACATCAGTTTTTAATGGCATCTCATTTGATTGCCCTGGCCTGCCAGTTTGGGCACCTGCTCCTGGTTTGTATTCCTCCTCAGTAGGTTTTGTGCAAATCCCAACTGTGTCCTGTCTTGCTACTGTTCAAAGATGCTCCTTTCTCAGGAGCCCAGCTGCTAGGTCAGTGATTTTACCCCTCTGATGGTTTTACTGCTCCTTGCAGTAAAAGGAAAAAAGAAAAAACAAAAGGGGTAAGAAGCATTTGTGCAGCTACAGGCAATACCCTTCTCTCCTTTTCAGATGAGGACAGCCTTTAAGAGGACATGGTTTTTCCTGTTACTCTTGTACATCTATGTTTGCATTAGTTAGGCATCTGTGTTTGCATTAGTTACAACAACTAATGCAAATTGAAGCACTAATGCTGCTGGAGGAGCTTATCCTTGCAAAGCACACAGCTGTGGCAGGCCTAGCATGTCCCCTGGGGGGCTGCTGAGCAGTGGCTGCGCTGGTTGGAATTCTCTGCACAGAACTTTGGGAACAGCCATGTGACCAGAGAAAAACTGAGCTTCTGCAAGACCAAAATTTCCACCTCCTCCAGACATTTGTATCCCAGCCTGTATAGAAAACTCCCTAAAGTTACTGCCATTTCCATAAGATTTCACAGGGGCACTTTCCCTTCCTTTCCACAGACAGAGGAGGAGACAGACCATCTGACAAAACACCTTCTTCCTTTTCTCCCTCCACAAGAGGAAAAGTTGTATATACACAAGTTTGTGACAGTGGACAAACTGTTGTCAAGAACTCCTTAAAAATGCATCACTTTTCAGACTCAACATCAGCTGTGCCCCACGATCCACCACAAGATACAAATCCAGGGGAAAACTGGCTGTTTGGAGTGCAGTGCTCAAGAATTACATACTGCCCCTCATTGCCTGCTCTCTATGACATGTTGTCAGGGACTAATTGCAGGAGAGTAACAAAACTAAATGCCATAGGAAGCAGGGGGGAAAGGGGTTAACCTATGAGAAGGATCCCTACAACACCTGCAAGACCTAAGCTGCTTGAGGAGGAAGAGATAAAAGTCTGGCCTTAGCTTCCCAGGGTTAACAGCAAGTTTCTTGGTCTAGAGTGTGCTCTGAGGAAGGAAGCTATTTGTTCATCAGGCTGGAGAGGAGATGTCATCCAAGAAAGCAATTTACCCTGGACCAAAAAAGTTGAAATCTTAATAGCTGGTAAAGGCTCCAAATGCTGAGGACTGAAGAAGACATCTAGCAGGTGTCAGACTGCCTGCTAAAGAAACCTGGACTGTAAGAGGTTTCTTGAGTGGTCCTTTCTATCATAAACAGGAAAAGCAATTGAGGCAACCAAGTAATCGATTATTCCCGACCCTAGGGTAACCTGGGTGCTGATGGCAAGGGCTTCTGGATTCAGCAGTGGCAAAGCTTGCTGTGCAGATCCTGGCCCTAGGTCAGGCTGTTGCCTGAGGCAGGTTCTGATGCTCCTGGCTCTATATTTCCTGTACAACAATTGCTGGACAGCTGTAAGCAACAGAACCTGGTTCCAGAGCCCAAAAGGACTGTGGAGGATTTGTGTCCATGTGAACAGAAAACGCTGCCTTTGTTCCTGTGTAGTGAACAGGAGCCACTGCTCCCCTGCCCGTAGGAGTAACAGTAAATACTCCACTACTGTACGCATTAATCCGAGCTCTAAGCTTATTCACAGGCCCTAAAATCAGCAGCTGAGACACTTAATCTGCTGATTTACCGTAATGCCAGGCGGCCGCAAATGAGATTGGCTTCCCCTGTTCCATGAGCTGTAAGCAGCTAACCTGCAGAGCACATCCCCCACACGCTGAACAAAACCTTTCCTCTCCTTTCCCAGGTAAACCACAAGGCGCTTCCTGAAGAAACATCCCTTCCCAAAGCGCGCTGCCCGGCACCTGTTGCTGCATCCTGGGGCAGCGGACGGGCGCTGTCCCGGCCGTGCCCCCTGTCCCGGGGCTCGGCTCCCGGTGCGGCCGGGGCAAGGCGGGCAGGGAGGGGCCGGGGCCGGAGGAGGAGCCGCGCCCGCTGCACTTAAGGGCCGTGACCGGCGCTGCCCCGCGCTCGGGCGGGCCATGGAGGTGGCACGGGATTGCGTGGGATCGCTGCTGCGGTGAGTGCGGGCACGCTCCCGCCCCTTCTCCATGCCCAGTTCTCCATGCCCTTCTCCATGCTGGCCGGTGGGGCCGGGCTGCCCTCGGTGGGCTCCGGCTGCCCTCGGTGGGCTCCGGCTGCCCTCGGTGGGCTGCAGCGGAGCGGGGGGCGCGGTGCGAGGGCGGGCGGGGCTGGCGCGGGATTAACCCCGATGGACGCTGCGTGGGAGAAGCAGGTCAGGATGGTGTCGCCGGCTGAGGCCCTGCTGAGGGAAGCACAGGCTGGAGCCCTACGTGCCTTTGAGGCGTAGTGGCCTCTCGGTGCCCGAGGCTGCTGACCACAAGCCCGGTGATGCTGTCACCGAGCCAGCCGCGGCCGGGGCGGTACCGCTCTGTGCGCTGCTCGGACACCCGTCCGCTGTCGCTGCGCTTGTGGAGGCTCCACAGCTCGTGTTTGAGCAGGAGAACCACGCTGCGACTTGAACCCCAAGTCTCCTGACTAACTTCCAACCTTTTTCTATTTTGTTTTGGTTTTTCTGTTGTTTTGCCTGGCTGTTAGTGCTGCTGTGGTTGCCAGTGAACCCTAACTTAAAAATCAATCTGTGCCGTGTCCTGGAGCGCGTTGTGCAACGCTGGTTTTTCTGAGCAAGGCTGAAGACCATTGCACCACATTCTTAGATAAACATATGGGGCACGTTGCAAACAAAGATAAAGAGTGAAATATGTGTACAGGGTTCAAGGCAGGCTTTTAATCCCCACGTCCTCGTAAAGAATTAAGTCATCTCTCCCACCAGATTTGACACTGGAGTGAGTGCTTGTGGCAGCATTTGTGAAGCCCTCTCTAGCAGATTGTAGCTATCCAAAACAAACTGGATAAGATGCTAGGGTCTGAAGGTATTTGATCTTTCAATTATAAAATATTTTTGTATTTTCCACAGATGTGGGATTCCTTCTTCCTTTAGAGAAGAGCTAGGACTTGATCCTTTTGGCTTTAAAGATTAATAAAGCAGTAGTGGACTTGTCTGTATTTAACGTGTCACTCAACTTTCTAGTAAAAGCAACTGCACCTTAGCTCCTTTCCACCACTTGTTTCATGACTTAGCTTGATCAGCTTTTGATAGGAAATTATTTTTGGTAACTCCAGTCTAACAGAGGAATTCCCTGTATCAGGAGTTGGTTTGTCTATGTTTTGAGGACAGCTACAGCAAGAATGGATCTTTCTAAGAGCTCTGAATGTAGCCTGGTCTGTTTAATCCTATGATCTAGGAAAGAGAGTGGCACACAAAATAAAAACAAGCTTTCAGCAATAGGCCTGGAAATGGAAGGATTCACACTCTGTTTATCTTGCTGCTTTTCATCATCCTGCCTTTTGTCTTTTCATTAGCTGAAACCTCAGTCTGCCCTGGAGCCCAGACTCACTTCTTCATAGGCAGGCTTAGTTTAAAGATGATATTGGCAGGTTTTATCAGTATGTAGGTGAAATGTCACTACTGTTAAATAACTTAAGATCTTTCCTGTTCAGTGACTGTGTGGTGGCCATAATGTAAGCCCTGATCTATTGATCTGTTTGTTTTTCTTGCTCTGACTTTAGATAGAACTAGGCAGCAGTGTGGGGTGGCTGATGCTGATTCCTTGAGAAACCTTTGCTCAGAGCTTCAAAGTACAGCTCAGAGTTGGCTGGGGTGAATGAACCCTGTTGGCTCAAGTCCTGCCCATGGGCTGTGTCCCTAGCATTTCTCATTCTTTATCAGCCTGTGTGTTTTGGCTGTTGCCCTTTTGCTTTGTCTTTTGTGAACGACAGCTTGGCTTTAACAGTGGGAAAGAAATCTTTTCAATGGGACTGATATTGACTGTCCTCACAAAAAAAAAATTAAAATTGAAGTACTCACACATATATCACTCAGGTTACTACTCTACACACAAGTTTTTTAATTTGTGGGAGGCAATGAGGTGTAATCAGCTGTGAAAGCTCTCAAAAGCCCAGTGCTGCACTGTTTGCCATCAGGGTGCCCTGTGATGTCACCAGCCCCAAAGTAGATGAGCAGGCTTCCTTCCTTCCTTCCTGAGGGAGAGACTCAGTGATTCAGAATGTGAGCTGCCCACGAGCAGTGGGGTGACTGGGGGCCCATTAATTAGTCAGCAGAGAGATTGGCAAGCAGGGCCTGCCCTAGCAGCCTTCCCTTCTGTGGGGTTTCAATGCCCTTGTCAGGGCTGCTGTCTCCATGTCCTCCTCCCTGGCCCTGGCCCTTTTCCAGGAGGAACAGTGCTTATTAGCTCTTTAATATGAAACAGTGCTTGTTTCCTGAAAGCCAGGCTGGCTGCTCATCCTCTCCAGCTTTGTCACAGGGAGGACAGAGGTTTCCATCAGCCCTGCGTGTGTAAATGCCAAATGGTGAGAGCCACTGTATAGCCAGGACTAGGAACAAAGTAAGAGCATGAGCTGGAACAAAACTGCTGAACGTTCTCCTCCTCTAAAAACAATTAAGGCTCCAATAATGCCAAGGAGTTTTTGTGGAAGGTATAAACTTATTCCTTAGAGGAAAGATAATAGCCCAGAAGAGTGGTTCAGAATTGGATTGGTAAACAAATGACTTGCTGAAATCTGAATCTGGTCAGGCACAAAAATGACGTTTTGTGCATTCCAAAAATATGCTTATATACCAGATAAGAGGTGTGGAAAAGATATTTATTCTGCACGGTTGGTGTGGATTTGCATAAAATGGACATCAACATTTGTTGAGTAAGTTGAGTAACTTTATACCATCTCATTGTGTGTTGTTCTATGAAGTCCTGTATTTACTCCCTGGCTGCAGATAAAGGCTGGCAGTTCACTCTGCCCTCATTGAAAGAGAATAGATTTTACTACGTAAAGTTGACTTTTTACACCTATGTGGAAGAACAAAATGGGGATGTATCCCTTTCCCACCCCTGAGCAACTCAGTATGAAGGAGCCAAAGGTACATACAGAGGGTAAAGTCCAGGAGTGTGGGAGACAAAATATTGCCTCCCTTTAAAAGACTTAGCAATCAATCCTTCCCAGGTGTCAGGCAGAATGCCATTTCTGGCAAGCTGAGTATTGACTTAGCAATTATCATTTGGCAGAAAAAATTGTCACTAGGTGTAGATGAGAGCAGATCTGTACATTGGTGTGGGAGTAGATTGTTACTGGTGTTATGTTCTTGGTTTACCAAAGGTAAATACGCAATTGCCCAGAAAAATTTCAAATCTCTTTCTAAAAGTGATTTAATTCTTCCAGTCTTGCTGGCAGCCTGCTCCCAGACTATACTTGGATATTAACTTTGATTGCATTTAACTCCTTCTCATACAAGCCTCTTATTTTGTGTTTTTCAAAACCAGATGGAGTTTTATGGGCTGCAGATATAATTTACAAACAAATGCCTTGACTATTCAAAGTCAGGTGTAGCTGCATCACAAAGCTCTGCTTGCATTCTGCCAAGGGGTGCTTTCAATACGGGTAATATGTTCAGTCTTCCTAAAACAAACCCATATCTTAACACACAAGATTGCTTTCAACTAATTATGTATCTCACTGAGTGCTTATCTTGTAAATGAAGAGAATGAGCTAAGTAACTGAATGCAGTAAGAGCTGCTGCCTTTTAAATTCAGTTTTACAACCCATCAGCTTCACCGTGATTGTGACCTTGAGGTCAGCCGAGCTAGAGGTGTCTGCTTGAAATTGTATTAATTTTAGAAGTCTTTACAAATGTCATGGGCAGGAGAGAGTTCAGAGATAACATATCCGTAGGGCAGTGCAGTATTTAATTTTGAAGTTAAGCTCCAAGAGTGTTGAGGTGATCTGTGGATTACTTGTATAATGTGATTATGTCAACAGTCTTCCTCCTTCTTGCAGTACTTGCCATGACTGTTTTTGTAACTCTGTTGAATTTTAATTTGTCTTAGATCTTTCATATCCATGGGAGCATCAGTAGGAGCAGTAACAAAACAGACCCTGTTCCCTCCTCTCATGCCTGCAGGGCGTCCTTTCCGTGTGTCCAACGCCTCCCGCAGCAGCCGGAAGGGAATTGTTGCCAGCAGCCTGCAGGAGCTCCTCAGCAAGGTACAGCAAGCAGTCCCTCTCTGACTGAAGCTCATACAGTATCCCAGAAAGACAGCCCACAGACTCTTGCTCTTCTAAAAAAACCACCACTAGGGAAGTATTTCAGATAAGCACGTCTCAATATGAAATGATTCTTTAGAATGCTAAAATCTCCTGGGGTTTTTTTCAGACTTTGGACGCCTTCGTTATAACTGCTGGGATCGTTACTCTGGTTTTGGAGGAAGATGGCACAGTCGTGGACACAGAAGAGTTCTTCAAGTCCCTGGATGACAATACACACTTCATGGTTCTAGAAAATGGACAGAAATGGACACCAGTAAGTGTTGACTGCTTCTCTCTCATTTGAGTAGAAATGGATGGAGGAATGTTTGTGGCTGCTAAAACTGTTGGAAAGAGGGGAGAAGAGGAAGAAAAATTCCTCTGAAGAGGTACAGTGTAAACTTCTTGTTGAGCCTTCCTGGATGAAAAATCAAGTTCCTACTTCTTATTGTCCCTTGTTTGTACATAGATCTGTTGGCAAAATCCATCAGGAATTGAAGTAAAACATTACAACTGAAAAGACTTACAGGGAAAATCCCCTGCTTTTGGAGAAGCTTAGAAATATTCGTTCTTGAGCCTTTTTGTAACATGAAGAAAATGAGGACTTTGACTCTGTGAAGTTAAAAATATACAGTGTCTTTAAAGATTAGATTTAGACTGTAAAAATGCTCAAAACAAAGTAATATAAAGCAAGTTCTGACATCTGAAGGCAGTAATAGTTAATGATAGTTAGAAAAATGCCTTGTTTGATTTTGCAAATAGCCAGAAGTTGGCATCAGAACCTAATGTTAGTCTGCATGCTTCAAGATTTTAAGAACTATTTAAACTGGCTTGCTTTAGCCTTCTAATTATATGAATTCAGTATTCAATTAGTTCTTTTATGGGGAAATAGTGATCTATACATTAATAACCTAGAGTCAAGCTCCTAAATGTTTTTCCATGAGATGGTTGTTGCTGAAAAGCTGGCATCAGAATTATTTGTGCCAGGCGCAGGGCTGTCTGTAAGCAGGGACACAATTTTTGTGCCTGCACACATACAGCTCAATCATGTGGCCTTGTTTTCCCAGTCTCCTGTTGTAGTGTGGGCAGCATCTATATTTTTTTCCCCAAATACCTCACTGATTTTTCAAGGTCTGCACCTGGGGCACGAGCTCCAAGGGCAGGAAAGGAGCTGCAGCCAGGGTGTGACTCCACCTTGCTCCTTTCCCCTGTCTCCTGTCTGGCATTGCAGCAGCACAAGTTTGGAGGCAGCCCCTCCTCAGAATGTGCTGAATGACAACAGAGCGATTGTCACAGCCTCACCAGTCACCTGGAGTGTAGCACCAGCCCTGTCCTGCTTTTTCCAAATATTCTGGGTGCTAACGGGGAGGGGTGTGGGGAGATGCTTCCAAGCACACCAACTGCTTGTACATGTCCAGAGCTGTTGTTGATAGGGGACCCTGTTGCTGGAGCTTGGAGGTTATCAAAGTAAAACAGGCATAAAATTGCTGGCTAATGATGAACTGCTGTGTTTAACTTTGTCTGACTTATCGTGACACTGTCTGAGGGCTGGGGCGTCAAGTACAGAAAGGCCCAGTCTTACACAACCTCATTGCTTCATTTAGCCTGCAGAAAACAGCCTGGTAGCTGCCAGCTCGGTAACCTTGAGAGGAATGTGCTGAGCAGAGGATCCCGTGTATCCACTAGATGTCTCTGTGAATATGGGTTCTCTCAGCTATTTTCTTTTTGGTTTTCCTTTCTTGAAGCACACACCCTGCAGCAGACAAGGGCTGCTTTCAATAAAGGAGGGTGCATTTAAGGTGGAAGATGACTTTTTCTATGCTCTCTCTCTCCTTTGCTTTTCCTCTTAAAATCTCATTAAACCCTTGGCCTAATCAGCAATAGTTCCCTCCCTGTGTTTCTTTTTAGTGGGAGGAAAGATGTTGTGAGCCAGGTTTTGAAATCAGTGCCCTGACTTTTCACAGATGTCATCTTTGTCAGTGTCTCCAAGAGCACTCATCAGTATTGTGTTCCTAAGCACAAGGACCTGATGTCATCCTGGTTATCTGGTGGCCTAACCTCGCTGCCTCAGAGAGAAGCCAGAATGTACCAGGATAAATAAATGGCAGCAACACTGTCCAGTGGTATTACCTCTGCCTTCAGTGTACTCTGAAGAAGCCCTACTACAGAAAATAAATATTCAGGAGTGGCTCTGTCACTGTAGAGTTTTAGTGTCTGTTTGAAAAACTTCAGAAGCCTATTCAGGACTTGAAAAATAATACATGAGCTACAGACCTCCTTTTCTGTGTGCTAATGCTTTTAATTCTAGTTTAGAATTGACCAAGAACTAGCTCCAAGACTGGAGTAAGCAAAGGTACTTCTGAAGAGCTGCACTGTTAACAATTGCCTTGCTGTAGTTTCCTGTGTCATGGTACAAACTGTCTCTCTCTTTTTAAACCAGACAAAGAATGGAGTTGTGGCTGTGAGAAAAAAGAAGAAAATGGGAGTAGCTAACATCACTTTTGATCTGTACAAGCTGAACCCTAAGGATTTTATTGGCTGCTTAAACATCAAGGCAACCTTCTATGAGATCTACTCTATCTCATATGACATCAAATGCATGGGAGCTAAAAGTGTATTACGGTGAGTGTGTTTCCACTACTGGGCAAGTGTACGTGCTAATGTAAAAATCTGTGTTTACCATTGGTTCTGTGGAGCAGTGGTTCTGTTTATAAAATCAGGATTTTTGTTATTTCTTACCTACTGACTAATTTATTGTATTTACTGAAAGGGTGTATGTAGGGTTTCTTTGTTCTGCTGAGAGAATTTCCTCACATTTCTTTGACTTGTTTGTCTGAAGAATGCAGGAGGCTGGGGAAAGAAGCTCTTTGAAGAGGAGACTTCAAGGGGATGAAATGAAAGGAATTTGAGATCTGATGTCAGGGGTCTTAAAGCTTGCTCAGACATTGCAGTTCCTGCTTGCCAGATTCACCACTAGAGCTACAGGGAGGCAAAGGAAAATGGAAGAGAGATGACACTCTGCTCCCCTAATGTGGATTTGTCATCTGCAGTAAGACTGATATCACTATTCTTAAGCCAGCTGGTGTGGTCTCTGGGCTTGCTAAGGGAGCCTGTCAAGGACCTCTCTCTCCTGTAGGACTGATCTGCTGTGGGCTGTGAGTTTGGTAGATCTGCCTGTTGGGAAAAGCTGTCTTATTCAGGGGCAAAATAATACCTGTCCAGTTCCCTGTTCTCAGCAATGAGTTGAAAGTTGGTGCCTTGTCAAGATCAGCTGAGTTCTGCCCTGGCTCAGGAAGACTCCTGAGTTCCCCTTCCCAGAGGTGCTGTGCTTTGACAGCTGTTTAAGCTGCAACCCCAAGTTTCTGTACCTGACTTTTAGAGTTCTGGTTGAGACACAATGGTGTGCTACATTTTATTACTTGAGGACCAGATCTGATGAATATGTCATCAGTGACATATATTCATCATGAATGAATAGGTCATCTGTGAAGTTTTGATTTGTCCTGAGTGACATGTGGCCTTCAGATGAAGCAGTCTTTAAGCAGTTCTTCCTCTCCTGATGCAGGTATTCTGATTAGCACTGTACTGCTGATCTTCTCTGTCCTTCAGTCTCACTGATCTCTCCCACTCGACTTGGGTGGTCCTAAATCTTTCAGGCTACAGCTGGTGTGGCTGGAGACAAGACTCCTCTCTGGTCAGGATGGAGTGATTATCCAGCTACATGCTACACCCACCTGTAACACAGATTTCATCAGGGTTTCTTCAAAGCAGAGGTTTGCCCTTGGACAGCTGCATTCTTCCAGTTCTTATGTTTGTCAAACTCTCTCGAGCCAAAAGAAACTCTGATCTCTGCCTGCCTGCTATGGAACTGAGTATCTGCACTGGAACTTGTGCTGCTAAAGGAGAGTTTGAAGTGACAATCCTGCCTCCCTGCCAAGACAGGGCAGCTGGTGAGAAAGGAGCAGTGCTGGCAAGCAGCTGAACTCGCTGTGGAGTTCTTCTGGAAGCTCTGCTATGTTGCAGAGTGGAGCCGTAAGGGAATTGTCACTGTCAGGGTGGGCCGGCACTCTGCTAGCATAGAGCAGGGTGACAGAAGACATAACCTTGGGTACCCTTGAACACAACAGTGACATGGCCTGTCTCAACTTGCTGTTGAAATCAGAGACAGAGGATGTCAGGATCCTGGTGCAGTCCCTCTGCTAATGAGTTCCAGATTGCCAAGTCTGATGCCCTCTGCCCGAGCCCACGTGCTGGGTGTGGAGGGAAAGGACTGAAAAATGCTGCAGCTGTTCAGATGGGAGGGGCTGGAAGCCTGCCAGGTCTGATTAGTGCACTTCCCCTGGTGGTGTTTCCCTGTAGTGTCCCACTGAAGGATCAAATGTCGGGTTCAACAAATCACTTGCTCCGTGGCTCAAGTGGCAACTGCTCCTGTGTGCAAGTGACACACTGCAGCTGCTCAGAGCCCAGCACCAGGTGCAGCTTTCCTTGCAACTGCAAAGCTCCTTGGCCTCTTCTGTGTGCTGGAGGAAGAACAGGCTGCAGTGGCACGTGTGGGAAGCATGAATAAGGGCACAGTGTTCTGAAATGGCTTCACAGGCTCTAAGTACAGGGTATTCTGCTGTGCTGAGGCATTGGATTTCAACTGCAAAGCTTTCATGACAGTGGGGTTAAAAATTAATTTGTAGGAAGAAGATTTTTTCCCTCTCTGCTTAAGCTCAAAGGATAAGTGAATAGAAGCAGAGGGTTCACAGCTGCATGTTTTCTTAGACAAGAATTCAGAAAATCTCTTTTTCTTTCAGAAGAGAGACTGATCTGGTTTCTGAATCTTCAGAAACTGATCCCATTTCCAGTTTTGGAACAGTTCCAGTTTTTTTGTACTGCTTCCCAATGCCTCAGCATCATACTTGAGTGCCCTCCTAACTTCTGGGGGAAGAGACTCACATGTAGCCCTCAGTACTTGTGTCCCTGCTGTTTCTTGCAGAATGGAAAGATGCAGTTACAACTAAGTTGAATAAATGACCATTCAAATATTATCTCTTCCCCTGTGAAGATCCACAGTTTACATTGCCAACCTCTGGTGCTTACCTTATGTTATCATATGGATTTGTACTGATTCTTACACAGCACTATATACTTGAATGCTGATTTTATCAAATTTGTAGAAAACAAAGTAGTTGTGAACTGAGAATTCTTGCAGCTTGGCCAGCAGTAATTTTCCTGCTTCACCTGTTTTGCTGTTGAGTACCCACTGTAATGTGATTGTTCAGCTTCAGATCTAATCAGGTTTGATCTGTGGCTTGCAGATACATACAGGGTTGTATTAGTGAATGACAAAGGTGAGACATAAGGTGAATTTATGCTGCAGGAATGCTGCTCCCAGGCAACAAATCAAACAACAATCAAAGTTGTTTTCTGTGGTACTGTGATGGTTTGAGTGATGGCTTTGCAGAAAGCCTGTAAGCGTCTACCAGGATGTCGGTCTGCTTTGTTGAATGTGATTTCTAGTCATGCCAGTATGCCAATGGTTTTCTGTCCATCAAGTATTTTCTCTAAAGAAGATACAAAAACGACCATCTCCTCAGAACTGAGAAGGAATAAGAGGGGTTTTTAAATATGTTGACTTTACTCATCATAATGTTGTGGGTGGAAAGGGGGAATGTAATCTTGCTGGTGATTTTTTTTGTAAACAAATTACTTTTCTTCCAGGAAAGTGCTTCAGCTACTATCCCATGCAGCACAAATAGCTGGACAGTTTCTGCTCTATACTGGAACATACATGCTGCAGTTGATGGGTGAATATGATGAAGAAGAAATGTGCATGAGATCCAGGCGGGAATAGTGACCACAGCCACGCTCCTAATGTCGAATCCTTTGCTCACAGACATTCTCCTGCCCAGCTCTGATTGTTGCAATGTTATAGCAGGGTGGTGTGCACTAATGTGAACTAACATTTTTCCTGTTTGGGTGTGCTTGTAGGCCTTAGTAATGAAGTGTTGGGTGTTCACAGGCTCTTAACACCACAAAAAGATGGGTGCCTAATCTGGCAGAAGGAGAGAGAGGGCAGATTTTTGTTCCAGAAATTCAAAATTAAGAATAAATATACTTGGCAATTTTAATACTTTGTAAGCAATGGAATATTTTTTGCACCAATCAGGACATTGGAGTTTTTGTGTGGTTATATTTGTTTGTTTTTCATGACTATCTACTTGCATTATGAACAGACTGGGCTGTAAGGTGAGGGCATGGGGGAGACTGTGGGGTTTGTTTGTTTATTTGTTAGTTTTAATCCTTAACAGTGCTGGCATTAGTGTGAAGCTGACATTGAGGTGAAGTGTACCTATTTACTCCTGCTGACAAGGGAACTAGATAGACTGAAGTTGCACTTACTTCAGTGACTGACTCTTCTCATGAAGTCTAATTGGAGATTGTGCAAACACTAAGCAGAAGGTTAAAATTTAGCTTTACTTCCCTTGAAACAAAACCTTTTCATTATAGTTCTTTATAATTTTTTTTTTTTAATCTTCAGGATGTTTGGGTTATTACAGCTCACACAGTGGAAGAACCTGATACATTTTTTTTAATGAATCTGATGCCTGGTTCTGCCTGAGCATTGAACAATCTGCTGTGAACATGGCTTATAAACAACCAGCTGGAGCTTTTTTTTCAGGGTTTAAACCACCACTTCTGCAGTTTTTACTGTTACAAGATGACCCTAGGTGTCAACTTGGCCTTGAGGTACATTTAAGAGATGCTGGATATTTTGTTGCCCTTGGGTTCCGGGGGGAGCAGCAGGATGCTGTCTAGTCTTGCATAACATACATGTATGCTCTAAAGTGAGAATTTGTGGGATTATGATCTCCCAAAACAAGCTGTATTAGAGGACAAAGTAATGCTTCCTGCAGTTTATTGAACTGTTGCTGTGCCCAGCTTTCAGTAAGCTTTTCCTCAACAGTGTGAAAAATTGGAGAACAAGTACCCTTGGGCATCTTCTGTCAAAATGCAGACTCATGTTGGTGAAGGAAAAAAAGCCCAATTTTGGTTGTTCACAGGTGCAGCTTTTGAGGTTTTTGTTTGCTTGCACATGAAGAACTTTAGGGAGGCTGAAAGCTCTTAAGGTGACATCCGATGCAGGAAATGTCTGTCCTGACAGTAGGTGTCACCTAGTAAGAGAAGCTCTGGTGCAGAGAGAACAAGGGGGGCACAGAAATCAGTGGGAGTGAAAGGGAAAGGACCACTATGGACCCCACAGTTGTTGCCATGCCTCTGAGACAGGAATCCATTAACTGTGTGCACCAACTGCACTGACCTGATCTGCTAAAAGAGAAGCAGAAAGGTGCAAAAGATGAAGTATCATGGTTGGTGGTATTTATTCTGACCTCTTAGCTGGGTCTGTTCACTTCAAAAAGGTCACTGATACATAGGAAATTGCTCTTGCTTTTAGCTGCAAATCTCACTTCCATGTGCTTATTTTTTCCTTCCCACTGTGAGTGTGGCTGTGCCAGTTGGAGCTGCATCTTTCAGATCACTGCTGAGAGGAAAGGCAGCCTAAACCCACAAGCTAAAGGGACTGATGGATACAATTTTTGTTTGGTCTCTGCCCATCTCTTAAGTGATGGTATTACAAATAAATAGACAGCTAAGAAAAACTTTGTATTTTTTTCCTAAGCCCTGTTGTTTCCCATCTACTTCTGAGCATTTGCTGGAGGAGGCAGAGGGCATACTGCTCCAGATAAGGGGAGGACTTGTTCTTTCCTAATTTCTCACAGAAGAAAATGCCTGGAGCTTGCAGCACTGTCAGGTGTCCTTCAGAAGAAAACAATAAACTATTCTGGGAGTAATGAGAAAGCTTCCATTTTGATATAACCTCTTTATGTTTTATCTGTATTTTTCTTGACATCGCCTGCATAAATGATTGTTGCCATGCTAATAGTTGGCCAAAGTCTTTCTTTCCCTGTCAAGGAATTGCATTTAACTGACTTTACAAGGACACAGTAATTAATTTTTTCAGCTTTTAAGGACCACTTATTCTATTAAAACAAGCACACCTCTTGAAAGCAAATTCTCTTAAATGCTTCTATGAGTATTTTTGTTGCCTGTGGTGGGAGCACCAGCATTAAAAGAAGGTAAAACCACCGGAATAGCTCATTGTTGCTTTGTTTGAATTGCTTCTTCAACATCTGTAGTACAGAAGTTTGTGCATGTCTGAACAGTGCAGATCCCAAATTCCAGCCTTCTCTAGCCAGAGGCAATTGTTAGAGGACTAACACACCACAGTTTGCAGTGGCACTATCTGGGAATCCAGCAGTGATCTGAAAAGCTAACCTGCTATGAATGTGCAGTGTTTTTAAGCAGCTGCTCCTTTAACAGCTTAAACACTTAAAACTTGAGCTGCTGAAGTTCCTGTGTGCAGCAGTCTCCTTCTTGGAGCAATTCCTTTTGTTCAGCTGTTTGCATTTTGAATTAAAGTAGCTCAGCTTTGATATTTTCTCAAAATGGGAGGAGTGTCCTGGAAGTTGTGTCTAAAATTGTTTCATTGCTTCTGCATCTGGATCTTTCACAGGCTTAGTATTTGGAGGTGATGTTTTCTACTGTACCAACTTCTTTCTGGAAATAAAGTTTTGGCTTTGAGTCAAACTGGAGGACTTTGTCATTCTGTGAGTTGGAACCAGTTTGATTTTTTTTTTTTTTTTTTTTAGCAACATGCTTAAGAAGAATAGTTTTTACTTCAGCTGTATATTGTATGCAACACAGAAAAACGTTGGTGTTATCCATCTTTTAGAGAACTATATACAAGCGCTGTACATTATCGAGCAAGACACAGAAAAACTGAAAACACAGTTTTTACTTCAGGAATGTGGAGAAGCAGCTAGATTTTTCCACTTGGCATTTTTAGCTTTAGTTTTATTTCCCATAAATCAGTTAACCTGCACCTGTTGCTGCTGCAGACAAGGCTGAGAGCAGGGGTGTGCAGGAGGTGTGGAACACGTTTGCTGCCTCCTTGTTTTACTGACCCTTTTTGCCTGTTGCTTTGCATCACTTACTGACAATGCACCAAGTCCTACTCTCTAGTGACCAAAAAAGGAATTTTCACTGAAGTAAGAGACCTTGTTGACTCAGGCACTGCTCATGTTCTGCAAACAGAGCGAAATTGCTTTCTTCTCTACCAGAATGAAGGATCTAGTAGCTTTCATCTGTGTGCAGTTTATCATTCATTTCCTTCCTTTCATAAACCCCTGGAAGTTTTCTTGCACCTTCCAATTCTTTCAGGAGAAAGCTTTTCTGTGCAGGGAGAGAGGAAAAGCCAGGGTCTAAATTCCTTAGATCTTTTTAATTATACTGTAGGAAGCATTATTAATCCCTTCCCTACAGAGGAGGGAAGATAAAAGCAGGAATATTGGACTTTGAACTGCAATTTTTTCAGTGAAGTGTGCAGAGAGGTAGGTATTCACAGTTTTGGAAATGTTGGTATTTCTGTATATGAAATGTGAAGAAAACTTTATATGATCATTCCTAACTGGCAGAAATATAATTCTCAATCATTTCAGTGTGCTTCTTTCCTGAAATCACGCTTGAACTAAAGACACAAGCTACTTAATTAAAAGTTTAAAAAAAAAGTTGAACACCATAGTACAAATTATATTTTTGACTTGATGCCCCAAGGTTTATTAGAGGGGATTATTGTGGTGGTTATTATTGTGATTATTATTTATTATTGTGATTAACATACCACTTCAGTTATGTATCAGCAAGTATCCTTGTGGGGCTTAGAGTTTATCACTGCTTTTTCATTGACATATATGTAGCTAAGATATCTTTAAGGATTATTGTTTTGTGAAGGGAAAATACAGCATTTTTGCACTGCACAATTTTTAATCTCAGATTATCTTGCTGTAGATTACCTTGCTGTGAAAACTGAGATGGGTGAAAATTGCATTCAGTGATGGCAATATTTTCTGCTGTGTGGTGCCAATTTGAAGGAACATCGTTCATTAATAAATAAAATCACGTAGTGGCTTTGGATGTTGTCTCTATTAATTTCCAGAATAACTTATTCCTGAAATAATCATTAATATTAATGAATCTATGGTCTGGCACAAACTGTTTCCAAATGCTGGACTGTGGCAGTGAAGTAACTGGATACTATTTTGTGCCTCTGAACTCCTAACTCCCAACTGCTGACTCACTTTCTGGCCTCAGAGAAGCTGTGCAAACTGTGTTTCCCTTCATACAAAAGCTTTGCTTTCCTCCATCTTTTACAAAGTTGCAAAAGAGCACAAAATACTGAGTAGAGGAGATAGAAAGGTCCCGTGATCTCTGGAGCTCACTAAACAGTGTTAGGATCAAGGACTTCTTTATTTTGCCTCAAAAAACCTCTCTGCAGTCATTTACCTAGAGTAGTAGACATTTGACTGCAGGGAAAAAATTAATTTAGTTTAGAGAAATATCCTATTTGTCTAGTTCAGGATTAACTTAAGCTTGAGGGGGGTTAGCATGCAAGTGTGATTTGTCTGTTGCTCTCCTATCTAACAAGCACATCTTGTATTATCTTAAGGGACAGTTTTGCAGGGCTTGACTAGAGGAGCAGTGCCCCTCTTGTGAGGGAATCATGGTCTGGTTTCTTGCTGTGGGAAAGCACAGGATAGAGCTGTGTTTGGTTCAGTGGCAAGGCTTTGGCAGTGGGAGTCAAAGAGATGCTGTGGGGGTGGCCCCTGTGTCATACAGAGCTCCTTCCATCTGGCTCTGAAAGGAACCCACCACTGCCCAAAGCTGAGACCCTCAGACAAGCTGCTGGTTCTGTGGAAACATTCTTTAAGAAAAGGTAAAAAATGCTGGGCAGCAGCTGTGAGAAAGGACTGAAAAAAATGTGGGAGATAACCTGCAGACACCAAGGTCAGAAAAGAAGTGTGAGGAAGCACTACACGTGCCAGACTGAGCTTTCCCTGCAGCCTGTGGAGGAACATGCTGGAGAAAACAACATCCACCCATGGATTCCCCCCACCTAGAGCAGGGGCCCTGCCTTGGAAGAGCTGCAGCCACAGGGAGCCCATTGATGAGGAATTGCTCTGGCAGGAGCTGTGGCCAGTGAGGGACCTGCTCTGGAGCAGCCTGTTCCACAGGCTATGGAAGGAAGCCACAGCAGCAGGCTCTGAAGGACTCTACTCTACCCTGGAAGGGCCCAGGGAGGAGCAGGGGAAAGGGGGAGAGGGAAGGAACAGCACAAAAGAATGGATGGGGAGTGACCATGGCCCCCATTCCTCTGTGCTGCTTGGGGACAGGGAGAGGAGGTCGAAGAGCTGGGAATGAAGGAGTGAAATTCAGCTTTGGAACAAAGCAGAGTTTGGAGAAGGTGTTGTTGTTTTGTCTTTGTTTCTCACCATCTTATTCTGTTTTTTTCTGAAATTAAATTGATCTTCCCTGAGTTCTGTCTGTTTTACTGATGTCAGTAATTGGTGAGTGGTCCCCCTGTCTTTATCTTGACCCGCAGACTATTACATATTATTTTCTCCCCACATTTGCTATGGGGATGAAGTGAGAGATCAACTGGTGGTTGTCTGGCAGACAGCAAAATTTAACTTACCACCAGCACAAAACACTGAAAGAAAAAATAAGCAAAAACCCCGAGGTGTTGGTGCTGATGGTGGCCAAATTGGAAACAAATCTTTTGGAGTGATTTCTGAATGGCTTTTCCCAGCAATGTTTGGAGGGACAGAATGCAGTCATATGCGAGACAGAGTTAATATTTTCACTGTACTAAGCTCAGTCTCAGGCATGTTTTCATGCCTCAGTCTGAATAGTTCATAGTAGGCCCCATTCCTAATCTGTTCTTGATTAGGAGTATTTATTAATAAATAGCAATTATCACTGGAAAAAGAACTTTAAAATAGTAGTGTTAGTAGTTTCATAAAACAAAACAACTAATAAGATGTAGCACTAGAAAGAAAGTATGTCTTAATAGACCCCGGAATCAGGATAATGCATTTTATGCAGTTTCAATATAAAAAATCGATTGACCAACAGTTTTCTAAAAAGTCTGCTTCAGTAATTAGCATACATTATGTATAGATTGGAGGGGAGTTTATGTAATGTAATTATTATAATAGGTTGTTTGTGATTGTCATGCATTAAAAAAAAAAGAAAAAGCTTAGATCCTCAGACAGCAACTCTATTTAAGAAAACAGTAGCTTAATGATGTGTGTAGTCAGGCTATTATAGACCCAGAGAAATCTCAGACATCTAAGAAGTCCTTTAAAGTCCTAAAGGTAATTTCTTATGACACATTTTTAATTACACCATGAAGTCCATAATAATCTTTTATGTTTAAAACACTTCTAATTAACAAAGCGTCCTCCCTTGCATAGGTTCATAGCTTGGTTTGCTGCTGCTCTTTATTAAGAGTGCTTTCAAATAATCTTCTCCCACCTCAAAAATCAGGAGAGAATGTACAAGAAAACTAAAATAATCTAATTAAAGTAGAAGGACTGCAGATTGACTACTGAGCTAGACAAACTGAAGTCTATGGTAAACTCTATTTTATTCCTAGAAGCTAAATTGCAAATGCCATCATTTCAGTGATTCCTGTACAAAATGTGCTCAGTGTAGGTGCTCTCCCAGCTGCAGCTCTCTTGCTTTCTTGCCTGCTTAGGGAAGTTGTTTAGAAAAGCTGCCTTGAACAGCTGCAGAATATTGTCCTAGTTTGCACCCAAGTGATCTTGCTTTCCAAATAAAAGCCACTATCTTCCAGAATAACCAAAGTGTTTTCAGAGATGATTGATTATTCAAAAATGAATCCATTTTACCAGAAACATAAAGTATTAGACACCTGCTGCAAATATTCCAGTCTCCCAGAAGAACCATTTCATCTTTGGATGGGATGATCAAGCTGTTTTTCCTCATTCTTACAAGCACTTTCTGCATACTACATTAGGATCAATATTTCATCTTGATGAGTACTGTCTCTCATAATTCCACCTTTGAGATCACTGAATTTAGTAAATAGTCCTCTCAATTCCTCCTAGTCTTGGCTGGCCCTGACATGGTGCCATGTTCAGATTTCACAAGAGTTGTGATCAGTGAAAACAAAGCAGGTTTTGTCACTTGCAGCACCAACTATGGCTAAAGGCAGTAGCAATCCAACAGATAAAAGTCACTTTTCTTTCTCTAACTTCTCTGTCTCCAAAGGTTGTTGACTTTGGGGTTGGGGGTTTTACTGGAGTGGGGAGGTGGGTTGGTTGGTTGGTTAGTTGGTTTTGACATTTTGGTTTTCTTTCACTGGAAAAATTCCAGCTGCTACATTCTGTTCTTCTTATTCTCTGTGCCTGATGTCACCAACTTCAAGCTATTATTTTATACCTTTGGCTATTTTTTGATAGCTTGCCCTGGTGGCCCCTTTATATGTGAGTCCTTTTATGTTGTTTCTCTTGTGGCCTTCCATCACCTATTCCAGATCTCCTCTGGCCACATTCAAACTAAAAATACTTCATGTCTGAGGGGAGAAGAGGGTGGGCATGAAGGGGTGTGCAGGTGTTTAAGCAAATACAAATTAAGAAAAAAAGACATTTCTATCTGTCTTGCTCTATTTCATGTTAAGTCTTTTCACACAGAAGTGATCAGCCTCCTTGTTTCTGGAGCACTTTAAGCA